ATATATATATATATATATATATATATATATATATATATATATATTCCTTTTTGCTCAGAATCTTACGAAGTGAGATTAGCTTTTATCCCCAAATTTTAGACAGTTTTAACACTCGAATGTTTATGTACACGACGCTTAAAAAACGATCTTCCGTTTGATTGCAAGTCCAAGGAGAAATTGCATCAGCTTGACAGAGAGAGGGAGAGGGAGAGAGCCTGTTGATTCACGATTTCGCAAAAATATCCCTCGGAGCTATTCTGACCGGGTCAAGGTAGCGAGATTGCGTTCTTAAAGAAAGACTTCAATGTTTAAGACGCTATTACGCGCTTCTAACCGTGTGCTGTCGTTGCCTTTGCAATTATCTAATTTCACCTTGAAAAGAGTAATTCAGGGGCGACACACCGCGTGTACGTTATCATTCGTACAAAAACAAGTCAATCCGATATCAAAATCGCGATGCTTGCTCGCGCGCGGAATTCGACGAAATCGTGATGGCGTGTCGTATTCTATTTATACGCGCAGATTCTTTACGATTTCGCGGATCCGCCGGAACACTCCGATCATGCCAATTAATCCGCAAAACGTGTGTTTGCCTTACGTAGCAAAATAATCTCTTGCCCGCCGGATGTTCCTATCACACGAGATTATTTCGACGAGGCTGGAATTCGTAAGTGCGCATGTAGCCTACGCGAAATCATCCTCCATGCAAGACCACTCCCGAGAAATCCCACCGTTTACATCCTCCCCGCGGTTTACACTCGGAAGTGCAATGTTGATCTTGCCAATTTCGACCGTTGCGCGTTGGTCTCGCTAACAGAACAGCGACAACTTATCGTCGGCGAGCACATTCTGCTCGAAGAGAGAAATTGGAAGTCGAACCGCGCGTTCATCCCGATACGCATTGAAGTAACGGTCCTAATCACGGATATCTGAAGGTAGCGTAACTTTCATTTACGTAAATTTGTCGATCGAACATTAAAAGGAACTGTTAACACCAACATAAGTACACCGTAAAAACTGATGTGTTAAATTTAACATTTCATGTGTCCCAAATCATCCACTCTCATTTATGTGTAAATTTAACACAAAACAAATGTGATAAAAAGTAACACGCATAATATGTAAAAAATTAATACAAGAATTTAACATTTGAATACCGTCAGGAATCACAGTTTGTGTTAAATTGACATATGTATAATGTTAAATTAACTAAGATAAAACGTTACTTTAACATTTGAGAGAAGTACTAATCTATGGTTTTGATGAAATGAAAATATTAAATTGACATAATCTATGTCTGACATATTAAATATGTCAATTTAACACAACTTGTGATTCCTAACGGTATTCAAGTGTTAAATTCTTGTGTTAATTTTTTTCATATTATGCGTGTTACTTTTTAACACATTTGTTTTGTGTTAAATTTACACAAAAAGGAGAGTGAATGATTTGGGACATATGAAATGTGTTAAATTTAACACATCAGTTTTTACAGTGTAACGTACTTTTTAAACAAAATTATTAGACTTTAAATTAATTGATTCTAATTTTTTTTAAATAATTACAAATTTTATACATAGAGGAGACTGAATCTAGATGATCCAAGGGATGTGTTGGCTATGTGCTTTGTTCATCTGTTTGTTGCAAAAACAGTGGAAACAACATCGCAAAATGTTTCTTTTAGAATATAAACACATTTTCTCTGAAAAAGCTTCATTAGCAACGAAATACAGTTAAAAATAGGAAAAACTGATTTAGAAGCAGTCAAATACATTTTCGAATATCTTGAAATTTAGTATTAATATTCTTTATCGTGAATGTACAAATTTAAGTGACGTGTTATTAGTTAGTATAAAGTTTCCTACACGTGTACATAATAAATTGTTTCGTATAATAAAAGAAATTTTCATTAATAAAATTATTGAAATTGAATATATGGACGGACGCAAAATAAAGTTGGCTACTATTTAAGAATCAACAGGACTGTAGAGATTTCTCACAGAGTCCCTGGAACTACTAATCAGGATACACATTTTATATAAACTTTCTTTTTATTTTTTTATCTTATGCTACTAGTATCAAGTTAAGATGGCCACATTGCAATATTTTCGTATTTTGGTTATTATAGAAGAAAATATTTTACAAGATCGTAGCGGGTATAAAAACAGACAGGAAAATTGTTTCTATCATATTTTTACAGTCAGTCATAATAATTAATTGTGTTTAAGAAATTAAAATTTTTAAGTTCTAAAAAATGTGCCTTAGCCCTGGTCTCCTCTATGTTCTAATTATTTCGCATCCCTATAACGGGATATACGATATCTGATTTTATATCAATAATATCCATATTCTCATATTATTTTAGTTTATAGAAAATAATGGTATACATAGTACAACCTTCTTTAATAATTTTATAAATCTAAGAATCAGTAAAGCAAATGATATTCCAAATTCTTTCTTAAATATTAGCAACGTTTGCTTAAAATATAATTGTAAAAGAACTGAAACAAAATAAAAAAAGATATATATATATATATATATATATATATATATATATATATATATATATATTTTCATCATAATATGTTTCTATCATAATGTATATTTTCTTAATAAATTAATTAACCAAATTTGACTTGGAACTAAGACTCGATCCATAACAATGGTAACTTTCGTATCAGAATTTATGAATTCTTGAATTTCGATTCTTTTTTTCTTTTTACGTATTAAAACAGAAAATATCAATGAAAAAAAAACTATTTAATTTAACTGTAGTTCAAGAAATATAGACTAGTTTTTGCAAATTAATGGTATGATGTATAAAAATGTAAAACAAAATGGAATATATTTTTTACTATAATTTTTTACTATAATTTTTTCATGTTTTATACACTGTCAGACAAACTAAAATTCTTTTTAAATGTTACAATTATGAAGTAGGTTTTAACGTTTCTGAAATAAGTTAGAATAAAAAAATAAAATTCAGAACTTCTAAGAAATTAAAATAGATGTCGCATAGACAAATTGTTACAGAGTTATCATACATACCTGATCGAAGTGGAAAAATAGCTTTCAAAGAGTCGATTTTTAAGTGATTTCAAAAGAAAAAAGTTTTTAGCTGTATATATGTTTGTTTGTTTGTATGTTCCTTCATAACTCTAGGACCGTTAAAAATATTGAAATAAAATTTTGTGTAACTTATTCAGTATATTATTGAGATTAAATTTTGTGCAACTTATTTAGTATATTATTTACATAATGCTTAAATTAAATGTCATTACTCAAGTTTGTTCGGGTGACCTGAAAATAATTTTATTACTTTCTTGAAAACTCGAGAGGACCTAAAAATGCAAGACAAAACTTTTATTTTTAACTGACTTTAAAAAACAAGCTTTTAGTAAATAGTTAAAACACATAAAATTAGCAATTTTTTAGTAAAAATAAACCGCCTTTCAAAATCTCAAAAATTCTAAATGTATGAAATAATTTTGACTTAATATTTTTACGCACTCTCAATCTTATCCTAATCTTATTCTAACAATATTAAATGGCGGCGCAAAAAAAACGAACAATTAGGCAAATAACTATGTAAATATAGAGAGATTAATAATAAAAAAAGACATAATTATTAACAATCAATCAGGTTTTCATACTGATTTCTAATATCATTAGAATATTATAATATACGAGGAAATAAGGATAGGATGTACATAACCAGAAATATTAAGTTGTGACAAGTACAGTTGCGTCATACTCTAATTATAGTAATATAATGGTAAAGTGTACGATTAAGACTCATTCTCAGTTACTTTGATACATCAATTGCATCAATGTATTCGCGCGTGATCTGATTGTGGCTACAATCGGTTGAGGTGACATTTATCATGGATGCACTCTGGTTGGAGCAACCAGATATCACCAGTGCAACTCAGTAATTGCTTTGTGGTTGCAACAACCACATAATTGGTTGTCCCGTATTCTACTACTTTATATTGCCCCTGATTAGCACAACCAAATTTATACACGAACTAATCATATTGTTTTTCCTGTGTAGGATTGTAAGTACATAACAATGTTGAGTCAAATTATTTCAATACTTTTTAAAACTTTTGAAATTTTTGAGGGCGGTTTATTTTCGTTAAAGGAATTTTTTGAAGAAATTACCTCTCGATTGTTGTCTATTATCGCAGTTATATATATAGTTATGTATAACTAAATATATGTATAATATATGTGTACATACTAAACTTTGATACTAATATTTGTGATCAGCACCACAAAATTCATAATTGACGGATCAGATCAAGGATATAATTTTTGTGTTGACCAGTGTAACAGGGCCTGTTACCTTATACCTCGCGCTTCATACCGGCGAGATTCATATGCCGAACGGAAAAATGGGAAACCAAAGACTCGCGCAGGAAGAGACACGCGTTGACAGACCCAAGGCCGCGAGGTAGTATTACCGTAATTAAAGAACACATCGCGATCGAATTAATAAGCTGCTCGCGAATCCCTACTCCGCGCATCTTCTCTCTCTCTTCCCCTCTCTCTCTCTCTCTCTTTCTCTTTCCCACGCGCGCGCGCACGCACATCGAGCACGTAGTTTCGCGAACCGGGCAGGCGCCGTGGCGCGCCGCTTCGACAGGACTCGGCTGCGGGAGAGACCTCGGCGTCGTCGTCGTAACCGTCGTGGCCGTCGCGAACGTCGAACAGCCGAGGGAGACAACTCCCGTTCAGCAAGACGCTTCGCGTTAGTTGGTCGCGATCGGTCGTGCCGCTCCTGTCACAGTCCGTCTACATCCTTCGATTGTGCTCCGACCAACAGCTGCGTATACACCTGTGCATACACCTGTGCATATATCTGTGCACGGTGCCGGTAGCTTGCCCCTTGCCGAAATCGTGCCGTGCGCCGTTTCCACACCGACGACTGGATGTCGCGGAAAAGGACGATCCTGCACGGCTAATTGGCTGACCCAGTCGCGCGTCTCCTCCTCGTGTTTCTTTTTCTTTTCTTTTTCCCAACGCGCGGAGGTCTCGAGAGACGGGAGTGCGGGTCATAAGAGGGACGTAACATCAGAATGGTCATGATTGATATGGTGGATGTCATCGAGGATGAAGACCGGTGTGTATAACCAGGCGGAGCGGTGCGAGAACTTTTGGCGCACACTCGTCGCCGATTTTCCATCAGATAGAACCCCGCGAACGTCACAATTCGAACGGGCCTTTCGTCGAGCTTTCGTCTGCCGCGCGCCTTGTCCGTTCGCTATTGATCCCCGGCGGCTTTTATTGGCGTTCATCCAGTGCGTTTTCCCCCCGAGCCGGTCGTCATCGGGGTGCCTGCCAGGAGAGACCGCCCGGTAGACGATCGATCGGGTATCGAAAAGTTCCACGCGTGGAACGCAGCGTCGTCGTCGCCGACGCGACGACGATTTTGCAGCGTGTCCGAAGTAACGCTTCGCAAACAAGTGCAGTCGTCTCGCCGTGAGACGGCGACATAGTTTTGAATTGTCCGGGAAATTACCTGGGAGAAAAAACAGACGGAGATTGAATCTCAGCCTTCTTTGAGCGCGCACGCAGTGCCGCTAATTGCCAGATATAAAGTAAAATTCGTGACGAGACCGGCGACGCGCGGTTATTCGCGATAAATCATATCTCCGAGATTTTCCCGCGTTGGCACGCGCGTTACAAGATTGGAATTTTACGCGCGCTCACGCTGAAATTTACGCTCCGTATTATGCAAGGCGGCACGTTCCTCTATGCCGTAATTAAAGCTACGTGACAACAGGTCGTATCGCGAGATTCAGGACACGCTTCCGAGCTCGTTAACGTCTGTCACCCTTCTCTCTCTCTCTCTCTCTCTCTCTCTCTCTCTCTCTC